GCGGGGCCCCTGCTGCTCTGGCTGGGTTCGTCCTGTCCTAAGCGGCGCATGGCTACTCCTCTTCCCACACACACCGCGTCGGCAACGTCAAGCTGACGCGGTGTGTGTGGGAACCTTGTCCCTTCCCCAGACCTTCAGCAGCCATTAGGAAGCTGCTGAGGGGCTGGAAGAGGGACAAGGGGCCGGAATGAAAGTAAACCGTGATTACTTTCGTTTCCTGTTGCAGCACCGCGGGCCACAGAAAATGCCCTGACAGGCTGCGTGGCGGCCCGCGGGCCGTATGTTGGACAAGCCTGGCAAAAAGCAAACCCACTTTACAATGTAATAAGTAGGGATAGGTTCCCATAGCGGTGAAGGAAGGAATAGGGGTGGTGGGAGGGGTGCTGCTCCTGGGGCTGCACAAGGCAGCAAAGCAGAGGGAACGGAGCAGCACTCACCCCAGCCCTGGCTGCAGCAGCTCCAGAAGTGGCTGGCGCCAGCTGCCTGCAGCCACTGGGATGCACAGTGCTCTGCCTGTCCCCACTCACCTCTGCGCCTGGGCTGTGCCGTGCCCTGGTGCAGGCAGCTGGTGTTGGCTGCTCCTGAGGTTGCTGCAGTTGGGGCTGTGGTGAGTGGTATACACTGTGCTGCCCAGTGCTCTGCTTGTCTGCACTCACCCCAGCCCGTGCTGGAGTGGGCCCAGGAGCAGCTGACACCAGCTGCCTGCACCAGGGCACGGCACAGCCCAGGCGCAGAGGTGAGTGGGGACAGGCAGAGCACTGTGCATCCCAGTGGCTGCAGGCAGCTGGCGCCAGCCACTTCTGGAGCTGCTGCAGCCAGGGCTGGGGTGAGTGGGGCCATGGCCCTTTACCCTCTCCCCCACAGACTTACCTGCTTGGACGGGGGGCATCTATGCTGATTGCATAAGAGCAAATTTACCTCACATATAATGAATGATGGATCTAAATATGCTCATCGCATACGAGTGAATTCACATATAAAGAACCCACATAAATCGAGGGAAACCTTATAGCTCAATCCTTATTTAGACAGTGAAGTGGTCCAGTTTTTCTAGCTGTTAGGCAATTGCTAATTGCAGAGAAGTGAATGGAGCCAAAGTAAAGATGTAGGTGCTTAGTTGTAAAAACTCAAGTTTGAAAATTTAGTCCTGCAAATATTATGCCATACCTTCTTCCTATGCCACTGGAATTTGAGCTTACTGTAATTAAAAAAAAATCATTCCACTTCAGTTCACACAACAGGTCACAGATTCATTTAAGTAACAGCACTGATGAATTTGTAAGAGTATTAACAACCTCCAAAGGTTTTTGTCTTGTATAGCCTTAAAGAAGAAACATCCTGCTGGCACTTTTAATTTCTTTCTTTCCTTTCTCCCTGTCATGCACTGAAAAAGGTCATTCCTGAAACTGTTCGAGCTGAACAGCAGATTATTGCTCAGGTTAATTTTCACAGAGAAAATATTTCCAGATTAGAATGGTCTGCACATGTTTCCAGATTAGAAGTCTCTGTCTCTCTCTCCCTCTCTGTCCTGGCTAGGAAGAGAAGTTGCACATAAACCAGTTTAAGTGATCAGAAACTGGTTTAAACCTGTAACAGAACAGAAGTTGAGTGCACATAAACCAGCTTCAAAATGGCTGAAACCAATTTGAGATAAACCTGGTTGAATGTAGTATCAGACTTAACTGATTTGGGTCAAACTTGTTTATGGAACTTTTCTCCCAAACCCCCTTCCTGGTTTAAGTTAAATCAGGGTGCCCCATCATCCCAGCATGCTCTGCAGCCCTGGGCTGGGCTGTGTTGTCTGCTTCAAGTTAGCAGGACTCACCCCACTCCTCTGTGCCATAGTGGGGGCATGGCCAGACACTGGGCCCCTAAGGCGAAGGGGGCAGGGAAGAAGTTTATTTCTCCCCTCCCTCCCCTGTCCCACCAGCACAGACCCAGCTAGGGTCTGCCAGGTTAGGAGCACAGCAGCCCCTGTCAGGCATTTTGTCTTGTGCTCTGCTTGACCAGCAGGGGGTGTGGCCAGCCTTGGCATCAGCCTAAAGCAAACAGAGATGAGGGGTTGGGCGGGATTAATTGATTTAATGGCTGCATGCTCACCAGTGGCTGGAGTCCCCCAGGGCTCCATACTTGGACCAGTATCCTTTAACATATTTATAAACTATCTGGATTCAGGTATCAGAAGCAGACTTGCTAAATTTGCTGATGACACCAAACTATGGGAAAGTGTGGTCACATTAGAGGATGGGCTGGAGATTCAGGCCAACCTGGACAGGCTCGCAAGGTGGACGGATCAAAACCTGATGGCATTCAACACTGAGAAATGCAAGGTCCTCCACCTCGGGGAAAAAGAATCCACATTATACCTATAGGCTCAGCAGTGCTACACTTGCTAGCACCATGACCGAAAGAGACTTGGCGGTGATGATTGACCACAAGATGAACATGAGCCAACAGTGCAATACCGCATCTGGCAAAGCCCTGGCTTGCATATATCGTTGCATTTCAAGCAAGACCCAGGATGTCATCCTCCCGCTGTACTCAGCCTTGGTGAGGCCACAGCTGGAGTACTGCATTCAGTTCTGGGCTCTGTACTTTAGGAAGGATGTGGAGAAGCTTGAGAGAGTCCAGAGGAGAGCCACACGCATGATCAGAGGACAAGAGAACAGGTCTTATGAGGAAAGGCTGAGATGCATGAGTCTCCAGCCTGGAAAAGTGAAGGCTCAGGAGGGATTTGGTGGCAGCCTATAAGTATATAAGGGGTGTGCACTGGGAACTGGGAGACCATTTGTTCACCAGGACACCCCAAGGAAAGAAAATGTCTAACGGTCACAAACTCTGGGAAGACCGTTTTAGGCTGGACATAAAAAAAAAACAAAAAACCAAACTTCTTTACTGTCTGAGTCCCCAGAGTCTGGAATAGGCTCCCCTCCAGAAGTGGTTCAAGCACCTACTCTGGACACCTTTGGGACACACTTGGATGCCTGTCTTGTTCGGATCATTTGACCCCAGCAGACTTCCTGCCCCTTGGGCAGGGGGCTGGACCTGATGATCTTGTGAGGTCCCTTCCAGCCCTAATGTCTATGAAATCTATGAATTCCTCTGGACCAGTGATGGGGGAGCAACCCTGATGGGGCAGCAGTCCCCTACGATGGTGTCCCAGGGAGCACAAGACCCTTCCCAGTGGGGAGGACTGTGCTGTGAGTGAGAGTGGGGTGGGCAG